TGTTATTAATTTCTAGTAATCGTTATTTAATTTTCCTTTAATGGGGTCTCCATTTTCGGTTTTAATGTACAAATTGTTATGATTTATGTCAAAATTGTTATTGAATTTTAAGGTTATCCTCAAGTGAATTTCGTGATACTCAGACAGATCAAGTTCACACATATTGTTTAAACAAAATGGACTCGATCATCAAATCTTATACTAGTGCTTATTGTGTTATGTCACAAAACCCCCTTTGTCCCAACATTTTCTATGCAACTCTTGTGAAGTTGATGGATTTCACATCTAACTCATTCTGTTATTTAGGTCACTGTCGATACCTCGACAAGAACAATATAACGGAAATTAGCGTAACCAAAACTAGCTCTCATGAAGAAAGTCGACAACCATCTACTATAGACGACCGTAATTCAGATCGAGGTATTCTATTGAGGGGTGTCTGTATACCTTCTCCAGCATGTCTTGGAAAAGTAAGACTTTGCTTTTGTTGTATTGGATTACGTATAAATGTATGCATGCCAGACTACAATATGTGTCAAATTATATGTGCTTAAAAGTTAAAGGATTGGTTCTACTTATAATGTAATAATATTATCCCGATTTATGGAAATAAATAAAAGGTACATGCACATATGGATTCATTTCTCTTTTCTTTTTGAAATAGGTACACAAATTAATTAAAGTAAAATAAAAATTAGCTTTATTTATTATCTACAATATGAAATAGTAATGAGATGTTTTGCTCGTATAATGCTTTCTGAAGAAATGAAATTTATCAAAGAAATAAGTATTTAGAATATGAAGGAGTTTGAATGAAATGTTATCAGGTTTAACCAAGTGTCTAATTGGTAGGAAATGAAGTCACTACAAGATAAAAAGGTTTTAGAGAAGGTTTTGTTTTGAGCTTGGAAGTTGGAAGTTTTAGAAGCTTCCCTAAAGGTTTTAGAGATGTTTTTCAATTTTGTCATCTATATAAGAGAATGTAAAGGCTTTAGGAAGGATTTCCACATGGTGTATTTTTGTTAGCTTTTAGACACTTTTTTGGGGTTTTAGATACACTTTTGAAACTTCCCTAAATGTTAGACCACTTTTTTTTTTCAAAAGTCTTCTCTAAAAGCATTTATTAGTGACGTTTTTCAAGTATTTGTGACGGTTTAGGAAAAAAATGTCTCTAAAAAGTACTTTCAAAGAAGGTTTACAAAAAAATTCTCTAACGGTTTTGTCTTTAGGGACGTTTTACCAAATCTTCTCTAAAGATGTCATTTAGTTACACTTGACAAACTTTCTCTAAAAGTTATCTCTAAATACACTTATAAAAGATCAATTCTTTCTCTAAAGAGCATGTTTTTTTCATCCATATTTCAGCTCTATATTTATATACAATTATATATATTTATATACAATTATATATATATATATACAATTATATATATATATATATATATATATATATGGGCTGGTTCAAATACTAACCCAATATTTTGTACTAACTTTGCTAACCCACATCAACCAATCATGTTGCATCTTTGAGTTTGGTTAAAATGTAACTTACATATTAATGATAAGGGTATTTAGGTCATTAGTCATTCTTATGTAACTCCCAAATATTTTAATTGGGAGTTACAAATCTTATGATATCAATAATTGATCTCCAATTAATAATGACATCAAGTTCACAATTGTTCATCTTAATCATTTTTACATATGTTCTTTATAAAATGGTTTTCATATTATAAATTTGAAGAAGTCCGTTTTATAAAGTCCGTTATAGTTCAACTAATATGGATAATCATACAGTAAAACAGAGCGACGACAATAAGAACGAAAAAGCTAAAAGCGWCTACGAATACATTCGGAATTCGAATTCCGAAAGTGAAGAAAATGATCAAACCGTTCATATTGGTATGTGCTCAATAATTTTCTTTTCTTCCGTTTAAATGAACAGCTGTTACCTTCGAAAATTATCTGCTATTCTGGCTGCAATGACTGTTGTTGACATGTTGAACATCATCCGTATATTTTGGTGTTTGATATGCCCGGAAAATTCATATGTTTTTCTGCTGCACACACGAACAAATCAAGGGCGGTGGGATTTAACTCCAATATTCAATGACACAAGCATAAACAATATAAATTATTCTTTCACTCTGTTTTTTATGTCATAAAGAATCAGACCTGTAATCATTTTATCGGGAAGTGCTGCGTGTGTGTCACCTAACCGGTCATGTTGTGATTGGGTCTGGGAGATATATCACTCCTTTAAACAACTGTTGTTCATTTCACATATTTAAGACAACATGAACAGCTACTGTTCGTTACATAATAGTCTAAAATCAACATGAACAACAACTCATTTGAACATATTGCTTCTGCATACAGTGAAACAAAATGAAGATATATGAATGAACAACTACTTTCCATATATGTATGAACAAATTTGAATCAATGTGATATCGGTCTTGTTCACACACACCGTATTACATTGCCGTAGTCGGTGGAATTTACCTCCAAAATTCAGGGACACAAGTATAATCAATATAAGTTCTATTTTAACTCTGTTTTATGTCATACGGAACCAGACTTGTAATCGTTTTATCGAGCAGTGTTGCGTGTGTGCCACTTATCCGCCCACGTTGTGAATGTGTCTAGGAGATATATCACTTGTATTACCAGATATTGTTTATTATACAGATCAAAGACAACATTGAACACCTACTGTTCATTAGATAGTCTAAAATCAGCATTGAACACCTACTGTTCATTAGATAGTCTAAAATCATCACCATCATCATCATCATCATCATCATCATCATCATCACCACCATCCTACACACTTCCAACTCGTTTGGGTTTCACATAGATCACCACTTTAAATATACTGCTACTTGCAACATCTAATAGTACCAGATTCGTAAGTACTTGCATTATCTACTAGTACCAGATTCCTAATGAACAACTACTAATATGAACACATAGACACTGTCCATTATCAGTGGCACTACACCCCGGTTGTTCAACATGTCAACTTTAAATTCATATGTTTTTTTGCTGCACACACGATCAAATCAAGGACGGTGGGATTTAACTCCAAGATTCAATGACACACGTATAAATAATATAACTTATTCTTTCACTCTATTTTTATGTCATAAAGAACCAGACCTGTAATAATTTTATCGGTAAGTGCTGCGTGTGTGTCACCTAATCGGCCATGTTGTGATTGGGTCTGGGAGATATATCACTTGTATGAACAACTGTGGTTCATTTTACATATTTAAGACAACATGAAAAACTACTGTTCATTACATAATAGTCTAAAATCAGCATGAACAACAACTCATTTGAACATATTGCTTCTGCATACAGTGAAACAAAATGAAGATATATGTATGAACAGATACTTTCCATATATGTATGAACAAATTTGAATCAATGTGATATCGATCTTGTTCACACACACCGTATTACATTGCCGTATTCGGTGGGATTTAACTCCAAAATTCAGGAACACAAGTATAATCAAATTAAGTTCTATTTTAACTTTGTTTTATGTCATACGGAACCAGACTTGTAATCGTTTTATCGGGCAGTGTTGCGTGTGTACCACTTATCCGCCCATGTTGTGATTGTGTCTGGGAGATATATCACTTGTATTACCAGATATTGTTTATTATACAGATAAAAGACAACATTGAACACCTACTATTCATTAGATAGTTTTAAAGGCGACATTGAACACCTAATGTTCATTACATAGTCTAAAATCATCATCATCATCATCATCATCATCATCATCATCACCATCCTACACACTTCCAACTCGTTTGGGTTTCACATAGATCACCACTTTAAATATACTACTACTTGCAACATCTAATAGTACCAGATTCCTAAGAACTTGCATTATCTACTAGTACCAAATTCCTAATGAACAGCTACTCATATAAACACATAGCAACTGTCCATTATGTTCACTACACCCCGGTTGTCGACAGCTCTGAAAAGTGGTTACTAGCATAGTTACTAGTATTAGTTAAAACTGATCTATGTCGAGGATTTTCAACTTGGAACATTTCATCTCACTCTCCGTTGAAGGTCCAATGAATTGACGTTATTTTTCCTTGAATGCTCTAAATAGTTCCAAAAGATGATAGCCCAACAAAGCAAAACGAAGCCGATATATCTCATACAGAGGTTGATGTGTAAGATGTATGCAGGTTGTCACAATACAAACTGTTTCATGTAATAGCTAATATATGTAAGAGACATGACACTTTAATTGTAAATATTTTTAATAGCTGAAAAAAAGCATTCATATTTTATATACGATGGAATCCATGATATATAATATTTACGATTATTCAACATTATGTTCACTCTATACATTGATATTCACTACCTACTGTGATTGTGTCATAGGGATGCAAACTTACTTGCCCACCAAAATTGAGATGGAACCTTGCATCACTGTTTTATTTTTTTAATTCTCTAGTTTGTGTAATAATAACTTTAGTTTTCAAGACTAACTACATATTTACAAGCAGGTTTTGATGATCTCACCCCTCCCCATACCGATTTTGAATATGATATTGGCGAGACCTCAGAAGGAAGCAAGTATTTTATCCCAATTGTGGATGCCGCGCTTAAGCCAAAGACGAATGCACAATATGCAACTTTAAACGATGCTGAAAAGATGTACAGAGATTACGCGGACAAGGCCGGATTTGATGTTCGTGTACATGCAAAAAAACAAACAAACACAAAAACATTCAAAATAGATGGTTTGTCTGTAGTAGAGAGGGTAACCCAAACAAAAGGCAATTTAATTCTTTGGATATTCAGCCCGGTGAGAGGAGATATCGCAATACGAACCTAAAACGTTGTGGTAAATCCACTTGACGAAGGATGGGGGTTGTTAAGAAATATACGAGTTTGTTGAGGAACATAACCATGCGTTGTTCAACGTTAACTATCGTCGTTTCTCTAGGAAAAATAGACAGATGAAGTATATGGATTTCAAGACTGTACTCAACAGCTCGAGTTACAAAGTCGGTGCGAGAAGGGCACATCGTATTCAAACATCATTGAACGGGGGGTTTGAGCATACTCGAGTTTCAAAAATTGATTTCAAGAATTTTAAGAGGGATGTTGTTGCTTGTGTTGGGAACAAGGACGCAAAGATGTTGATCAATAAACTATCAAATAGACGTGACATTGTACCAGGTTATTTCTTCGAATACAAGTGTAATGAACATGAGTTGATCGCAATTTTTTTGGGCAGATGAAGTTGCTAGGATTAGCTACAAAGAATTTGGTGATGTAATATCGTTTGACGGGACGTCTCGCACGAACAAGTAATATTCACAGTGCCATAGAGAATTTAAATATTATTACGCGTTTCTATTTTTATGGAATCATGACGTGGGAAGAAATAGGTACAACTAATTCACTGATTTGTGTTGCAGGCATGCCATGATTTCCGTGCCTTTTTTGGCCGTTGACAATCACAAGGCTTCCGTTGTCGTCGGGTCCGCTCTAATCAGTGGCGAGACAATCGAGAACTTTACATGGGTTTTAAAGGCATTCATAAAATGTCATGAGAAGCAACCAATTTTCGTCATTACAGACCAATGTTTTGCAATGAAGCAAGCTATCCCGATGGTGTTTACGGAAGCCAAACACAGACTCTGTATGTGGCACATTATGAAGAAAGTGCCTTCAAAGGTAAGTTGTATGTACGTAATGCTATGTATTTTTAAATGATGTTTATGTTTAATTTTCTTCATTAGTGGTTGCCATATACACGCAGGTCAGTGTCGCACTAAATCAAGATCCTAATTTTAATAAAGTAATCAACAAGCTCGTATGGAACATACATATTGGACCAGCGGAGTTTGAGCGTCGTTGGCATGAGATGATCGAGCAATACAATCTAAGGGGTGATACTTGGTTCACAGATATGTATGCAATTCGACACTCGTTGATTCCTGCCTTTTACAAGGACACTCCAATGTCTGGTCTAATGAAAACAACCTCAAGATCCGAGACTTCGAATTCGTATATTAATATATACGAATCATACTGGTTTGATTTGGTTCAATTCCTTAATAATTACGACGTAGCTATAGAGAAGCAAAGATACAGACAATCTGTTCATGAAATAGTAACAAGAACCACTAATCCAAAATTTGTTACTCCGCTGCGTTTAGAAAGTTATGCATCAAGAATATACAGTCGGAATGTGTTTTTTGACATATAAAAGGAGATAAAGAAGGTTGTCTGGTGCTGTGCTATAGAGAATGTCGAATGTCGGGATGTCTTAAAGACATTCGTGATAAGCCACAAGACGAAGAAATCATCTGAGAACATCACATATCTGGTATCATATCCCTAATCCGCACAACAATTTTTTTTATGTTTTCGAAGTTTTTGTTTGATTGTTGTTGTTTGCAAAGCTTTGTAATGTTGGTCCCAAAGGGTCTACAAGAATACTAAACAGTTTGTAGAAGGGGGGGATGAATACAAACACAATTTTCAAATTTAAAATATATATTGATAAAGAAGATCAATACAGATTTTACAAGATTGTCTG